CGCCGTCCCTTTTCCTGCCTTTTTCTCTGTCTGACCGAGTATCGTGTAACCGGTGTGGTGAAAACGGTGTTTAACTTGTAGTAAGAGGTGGCTAGAGGACCGGAAGTGGCAGACGGGCTTTTCAAATTAGTTGCAAAGGATTGGTTCGTCTTATAGTAACGGCCAGAAGAATTGTACCAAGGTCATTTGGTAATTATTCACAATAGGAAATTTCTCGTCGATTTGATTGACCTTGAAATATGTTGTCAAGGTCATCGTCCTGAGTGACGACCTTGGAAAAATTTACAATATACAATATTTAAGAGGAGATACATATTTGAAAGAGCGATCGGAGTAGGGATGAGACTATAGATTCGTTAGCAGAGAGGGTATTTGAGGGAAGGGATGCTTTTAAAAAAATAGACGAGTTTCTACTTGTTTTTCGGATATTCAGAAAAAAAACTTTTGTTAAACTGAGATTTATGACTGGTAGTATGTATCGATCAGAGTTTGTTAAAGACACACACCATACCGTGTTAACAACGCACCCAACATTTCACCAAAGATAAGTTTAGTTATTAATATCTACAGAAACAGGAAAAAAGTTTCTTCGCCGAGCCCCAGAGAACATCGTTAAGAACGTGGTTAACACTAGGTGGTGTGAGACTCAGAGACTTTACAAAAATTTTTAGCAGGGTAAATCTAGGAATTTGTTTAGTGCCAATTTTCGAAGCAGATTCGGAATCTCGTAAATTGTATACATTCTCAGGAAGTCTGTTAGGAAATATTGATTTTATATACAATGCGGAAATAACGTTTTATTTTCTTTTTTTTTTGTTACGTAAAACTGTTTCATCATTATCTCATTCATCAATTTTTTATTCGATAAATATTACTTGCAAAATGATTAATTACCTTCGTAAGATCTACAGTAACTGTAAGTGACAAAGATAAATGAACCATCCTTTTATGGGAAGATCAATTTGTTTTCGTAGCTAGTGGAAATTAAATATCGAACTTTTGGAAAGACTTATTTAATTATTTTTTTAAATGTTCCAGGGGAGTATACTGTTGAAATATTAATAATCTTCATATGGTATATGTATAATTTATATTGCAGTTCGTTGTCTTAAACTTATGACTGCTACCATATAGTATCAACAAGGGAATGATGAACAATGAAATCAAAATCATTGAAAATGTAAGATTGGAGATTGTTACAAATGTGTAAATTAAAATTTCAATACGACAGTAATAAAACTGGTTCTCAATATTATATGTTATACTAACGTAAGATACATTTAGATATTCATTGAACAATACTTATAGAGCGACCCATTTTAATTTATAAACGCTATTATTTCTCGAATTAATTGTTATACAAAAAAAAGGGGCAACGAATACGTCTCGGTATCGACTATATGCCTAGCTAAACAAAAATATATAGTTCCACTAAACAAAAAATGAAGGACACCTTGAAATCTTGGGGGCACCTCCACCTAGACAAGACTTACATTCATAATAAGATGTTCCCCTGGAAATAGAGTAAGTTCTATTTCAAACATTTCTTTCAACAACGACTAATTCGGAAGACAATTGCATTTATATATTAAAATGGGCCACCCTGTATATTTTTCCCCAAGAAAGCCTAACTTATATTTTTTCTACCATAAATTATATCTGGTATAAGATGTCATCTTCGAATAGAGTAAGTTCTATTTCAAAAAACGAATAAATCGAGAGACAGTTGTATTTATACATTAAAATTGTATCACTCTATACTTTGACCCAGAAAAGCATAAATTATATTCACCAATAAAAATTCTTGTCAGGCACCGTGCTCAGTATCAAATCTTTAATTGTCGTCCGTTACTCGAAATAAAGCTTGAAGCCTTGGAACGTGACTTTATTCCAGTCCCGTGAATGTCACAGCGACGCCGTGGAAATGTCAAGTGCATTTCACAGTGGAATTGTGGTCGCGGAAAAATGCGGCACGAAGAAGGTCAGGGTCGCGTCTTGCGATACATCCCTTGGGGCGAGTTCTTAATTATTTCGCTCGGGTTCCCTAAAAGAACGGGTCTCGGCTCGAACTAAACAGCCCTCGCGTGAACAACGTTGGAACCTGCTCGCGATAGCGGTGGTATATCCTTAAAAACACAAGATCTCATCAGGCTTGAAATAATCATGCAGCCTAGTTTCTTCAGTAAAAAAGCATTGGGTCAGTGCGAAAAGTTTTGATGGATTTTCTGCAGATGATATTACCCTCATAGCAGCGTGGGGCCAAATGTAATCTAATTATAAAATCTAAATTGCAATTATAATGTAATCGCAGGGTAATTACGGAACAATTACGTTATAATATTTATTGTAAATTTAGCATAGTTAATTACAATGTAATTGTAATTGTAATTGTCCCGCAATTACATTGCAATTACATTGTAATTGTGATTTGGATTTTGTAATTAGATTACATTTGGCCCAACTCTGCCTCATTTTTATTTTGGCCCAATGCTGTCTCATTTATATTTGGTGTAAAACAATAAACAATCCTCTTAATTTATTATATGTACATTCAATAACAATGATGGTGTTCATAAATTTTGATTATTACAATAAAAATGCAGATTGAAAATACATATGTTATGAAAGAATTATGATGTAGTTTATTAAATTATTGTTGATTTATAATTGAAAAATGTTATTAGTCTTTTCTTTTATAGCAAAACTTATCGAAACATTTGCACTCACCCAATAATTGAAAAAGTGACACACGAAATATTACATTTGACGTTTCAAAGTTAAACATAAGGGATTGTAGCTGACAGACCCGTGAGAGGAAAGTTTTCTTTCGTTAAAAGCAAAAACTTTCCTCTGCTAAAATCAAGGGTTTCGAGTGGCTGAGTCCTTAGTCAAACGGACAATAAAACATCCGCCTTGCAGGCCTACGGGTCTGTTTAGCAGCGAGTCGTATATTTTAATAATTTTTACTTGCCGAGAAAAAAGTTTTCCCTTTCCCGCGGAAACTTTCTCTATTTTTAAAGTATGCGTCTTTTTCTGGGCGACCACCAAGGATCGGCACGAAGACGTTAGATTGTAGCTAGCCGCCTCACAGTGGGTTGAAAACCCGGACAAGTTGCCGAAAGACAATTTTTCAATTTTAATACTTTGAAAAACTTTTTGTTTCTATAAATTGACAACTCTCGAAAGTTTAAAAATCCACCCTTATATCTTCTTTCAGATGATTCTGTGATTAGATATAATGTTATAAAGACAAAATCATTCAATTTTAAGTGAAACTAATTGTTCTAATTACTCAATGTAGAACATCATAAACGTCATCGTAAAGTCATTGACGCAAAAAAAAATAAATAAAAATGAAATAACAATTTCGAAAAATTTTGGACTCAAGTTTTCATTCGAAAACCGCTACGCGGCAAAAAACTTCGCGAAGCAACATGCGTGCTATTAATTACGTGGTTCGACTGCGCGCAGGATTTACGGTGCACTCGGCACAACTCGTTAAAATTTCTCATTACCATGTCGTTTACCCCCGACAGTGATAATTACCACAACTAAAGATCCTGACCCTTGCTGCCGTGGTTCAGCACGGTTCCCGCGGAACTTTATGTCTTCTCCTCGTGCAGAATCATTCTGTGAACGGTGTGTAACGAATCAAAGAAGGAATGACTAATGGAGGCAAAGGTACAATTGCTGGAAATCGATGAAACTGTAGACAAATATGCTTACTTATTTACATTCGGACAGATACCATCGAAAAAACAATCGAAGATTTTTTGTAGAACATACTGTAAGTGCCAAAATTGAAACATTTCGTTCTTTTTTATCGAAAAATATTCTGTGTGCCAATGGGAGCACTATATAAGTATACAGGGTGTAACAAAAATGTTAGAGGACCCGGAAGGGGGACTAGCGAGGTGATTTGAAACAAGTTTTTCTTTAGCAAAAATGTTATCCTAAGGGTTTGTAAACGAGATAATTACGAAAAACTTCGATCAATTAGAGCGCGAGTCTGTCGGTTGAGTTCCCGCGGTAGTGTTAGCTACGCGCTGCGATTGGTAGCCAATATACAATGTAAAATCAGGAAATTTTCTTTCTCCACCTGAAAATTTTGATCTTTCTTCTACATCGCATCGACTATTATTAGGTGTACTAATAATAGTTAATTATTTTGTTCCGTTAAAATTGTAGTATAATTTGAATTCAGAATATGATACAGCGGTTGTTTTACGTAAAAATGAGGAAAAATGACCGAGAATGATAATGTGTATTATTTGGTACAGCCTTTTGATTTCCCGAAATGTGAATAGCAAATTTGGCAAAATATAGCGGATTATTTATTGATATAATATAATATATGGTATTAATTAGCGACGAAGTTCAGTCTGTATTATAATATCTCAAGAAAATTTGATTTTAGAGTAAATGTTTGTGTCGTATAGAAAATTGATTATGTTATCTTAAGTTGCCCTATGAAATGAAAGCTTTATCAGTGTTTATGTTATGTTTCCGTTATAAGAATACTTTTCCTTCCGTCAAAGTTACGCCCCTCTCCCCTGTTTAGCTTGATCCGCCCTCTACCTGCATGAGCAAGGTAAACATTGTCAATCGTTTCAGTCATCTTGAAAGTCGGTTCGCGTAAAGGTGTGTTTAAGTTCCGTGTCACACGAAAAATGAAACGCAATTTACGAGGTGTAGTCGAGGTGAGAGTTTCGAGAATAATTAATTTAAAAGTTTCAGTTTGAAAATTAAGAATTAAACGTGCGAAACTGGAAATTAAGTGCACAACGTCTTCATAGTAGTTCCCCATTGAAACTGTACTCACGTATTCTACACCTGACAGCAATTCCACAAATACAAATATTCATTAACACTCGAAAGATCAGTGAAGGGTAACTTTCGATGAGTCAAGCATAATTATCGACCTGAACAATGAAGTTTGTGTTAAGTTTCTGTGTAACATTTGTGCAGAAAGTTCACGGTGCGGTTGTATTTGTTCGAAGGTTCGATTGTGGCAGCGGAGTCGGCACCGTCAGAAGCACCCAAACAGTCAGGCTGAACGAATGGAATACGTTGACTGTCTACAGGCACCGATGGGATGCTTGGATTCAGTTAAATCAAGAGAAACGCGTAGAGGGCAGATCGAAGGTAAGAAGACTTTATCCTTACGACATTGCCAAAACGTTCCCACTGCGATCGCAGACAAATCGTTTGAATATTTTAACACACATCAGGGATTGAAATTCATTTTTCGTTTCTTTACATTCGAATTTTATATGTTTCTTTAAAACTGTGTTTTAAAACGATGGTTAGTTAAAGGGAACATTTCCATAATGCTTAAAACAATTTTCGAGTTACTTTTAAATCAAAGAAATCTATAACGCTTTTGGTTCATATCTTTCTTACATACATAGTGTCCGCGCGAATAGTACAGTAATCTCTCTGTGAGTGCGACGAACTCGCTTCAGAGCATTCGTGGTAAGGTGGAAAGGTCTTCAGCCTCTCATAAATTTCTTTTCTGATAACCAGAGGAGATACATGCAAACTTCTAATGGACGAGGTTTGCGGTTTTTTATGACGGATAATATGGTGCTATCAAATTGTCCAAAACATAATTTGTTTGTAACAAAAAGATTTCAGATCGAAAATTCGAGGGGTGGTTTCACCCCTTAAAGTCGCGTTTCAGCCGACAAAAAAAAATACGTATCCCTTATTTTTTACTGCTTAAAAGACATACGAAGTTTCATCAAAATCGGAGGGGTACACTTCCGTGCCTTCCCTTGTTAGTTTGGTATCTAGAATCCACTCTCTGAAAGCGTCACACGTTTTTACTAACACCCTATATTTGCTCCACCGATACATCGGTATAGGACGACAATGAATAATATCGACGTTAACCGTAAGGTTTTGCACTCAACAATATCGCCACGAAGTGTACCAAGGAGAATTCGCTTTTCCTTGACATAATTTTCCGTCCCTTAAAAAGGCCGTATTCTCGTGGACGTTTCTCTTTAAAGCTCCCAGGCCGGCTGACGTCTTTAGAGACGAGCGAATCTTTTCACGACACCCAGCGTATTCTCTTGCCTCGACACCCGGCTACGTCATGCATCTGCATGCAATTCCATCCGCGATATACGCGTTTTTCCCGGGCAAAACCTTATTTTCCGGGGAAATTGTCCATTTAATGACTAAGCTGCGAGAACGCCGCGTGCTCCTACGTGGATCGTTTCTCGCCGTGCTGCTGTCTCGAGACAAGCTTTACGACGTTAATTACCGGTTCGCTCGCCCGTTACGTGTACATTATTCTCACCTCTTTTTCTTTTTTTATTTTTTTTTTTTTAATTTGATCAAAAAGCTTACTTCGCCGTGCCGTGGAAACGAGATTTTCACCCGGAGCAGCTCGAAAACGTGAGCGTTAAAATTCACGGAGCAAGGTGTTCCATAAACGTCTCGTTGGTTTCCTCGTTGATTGGTAAATAATTTATTCGACGATTTGTATTGGTAATTGAACTCTTCTAAGCCTTCGTTCCGGAGCGAGGAAAATTGACGTTTAAATGTAAACGGTTGAGGAAGCGAAAGAACACTTTGTTGAGCAAACGCGGGAGAATACGATCGTTGAAAGGGAAGAAATATTTTTCAGTTGTTATACAGGATAAAACAATTAAAAAGGGTGTCAGTTTGCGCGAAGTTTGAGGTCTCTGAGAATTTTAAACGCGGTGCCTGCGGAATGTTTCTTTCCGGGGGAGCTAAAAATCGAGCGAGGAGAAAAGAGAGAAAAACGATTGATGATAGAGGGGAGATTGAACGCGTGAATAACGAATTTTGTTACTTTTCTTCACGGGGAAAATTGAATTTGTTGATTTTACCCGTTTGGAATTGGAAATTGTTTGGAGTTCAGCTTTGCTGGCTCGTTCAACATTTTTGTTTTTTATCACATTTCAAAGTTCTATCCTCAATATACCTGATAATTGAATCAGTTAATTGGTAGGCTTATAATACTCTTTACAGAAGATAGTGTAACTGTTAAATGTACAACAAGAAAAGTAATAAAGGATAATGTAATTCCATTAGTTCAGATTAAAACGGAGATACTTAACAAATGAAAAGTATTGGAAAATTCAATAAGGTTGGTCTAAAGCAACTTTACTTATTTAAGAGTGTAGAATGCTTTACATTTTTCAACATCGTTATATATTGTGCAAAGAAATCATAGAAACAATAACGATTGAAAAATATTTTGGTAATTATCTTCAAGATTCTTTTGAACAATATACAATTTTAATGAGAAGTTTAATCCCTTCGCACCGGTGGACGAGATATCTCGTCCATCGGTGCGAAGGGGTTAAATTATCCTTTACTCTTAAATAAGTGAAATTGTTTTGGGCCTACGTCTCTTTATTCAAAGTATTCGTTCACCTTCGTTCGCTTTGGTAAAAATATCTCCTGTCTATATGTATCGAGTTTGTAACTCTAGTTCCCACACCATGTTTCGAAGTGTTCTGCTTAAATTAGAAATAAAAAAAATGTTTTAAGTGGAAAATATCCTATATATAACATCGTTAAATAAGTTGACGTTCGTAAATAATGCAGATAGAGGAAGTGCCTTTGAGTGACAAAGTCGATACATGCATATATTAAGTATATCATACTTTTTGGGGACCTAATTTGTGTCCTCCTTAATGCACACTTTCTTAAAAGTTGGATAAATTAATGATCTAAGCATTAAATAGTAAATCTGCGACCGTTTTAAAGTAAAAAACGAAGCAAAAAAGAATTGAAAAAATTTACGTCACTAGAACTGGAATCGCAATAACTCGTCCGCATTGCACCTGTTAATGGTCTCGCGCAACAACCTGGCAAAACAATTACTCAATCTCATTAACTGTTAAAAGTTCACTATAACACTCCTAGATTCTGGTGTCATTCACTATGCATTATTCGAATAAAATGCTGCCTAACCGTGAAGTTCGCCGCCTGACGAGGAAAAAAAGATAATTACCAATTGCATCGGAATGGGGTTGAGATGGGATCGAATTGACTTACCCTATCGCGAACAAAGAGATGGTCTCCGTTTCGACGTCGTTGTGTCTCATTTGTGAAATAGAGGGAAAAAAGACGGAGTATGGTAGTACGGAGGGTGGGGTAGGCTAAGAAAAAGAGTGTGGAAAGGGGTAGGTACCTGGGGACAAAGAGGTAAAGTCGACCCCGCGCGTCGCGACACCCCCTCCCCCCCTGCCCGTGTAGCTTGAAATAAAACCGAGACGAGTAAGTGCCGGCGTGATTAAAACGGAGCACCGTAGTTAACAATGGGATCCGTGTATGCGTTTTGTCGGCGAGAAAAAAAAAGATCCTAAGCTGCAGCGCCACGCCCCCCCCCCCCTCTTTGAAGGACGGGCTGCCACGTCAAAGAAGATTTTCCGGTGTTTGCGCCGGAAAAGGAGAATATTACTTTCGACGGTTCGAAAGCGACAGCCGTCGAATTACGGCCGCAAATGGAGCATGAAAACGACTACCAGCCTGTGACTACTTCGGGTGGAACCCAATTAATTTTCCGTGGATGCACACGGCGTTTTGATTCGACGAGTGCCAGCTGGTGACGTTCCGCACGATCTTTCGAACGGATTTCCATTGGTGTGTCGATGCGCTATACCGATTCTTCTGGGAATTTCCTTCTTTTTTTTTTTGCTTTGACGTTCTTGTTTTGCGAGATCTGACGGGAAATTTGAAAGTATACGCGAACGACGAATGGTTTTGGACAACAAGGTTCCGTGTGTATATCGATGTCGTGGATTTTCTGTTACTTGTTATTGCATAAATTATTTGGTTGAATCGTAAATAACATCCTCCGTTGTTGCTAAAAGATTACTAGGTAATAATTAAGAGAAACTATAATGAGGATATTTAAATTGAATAATAATCAGTAGACATTTTTATCGTCATAACGTAATAGCTAAGGTCAAGACCTATCCAAATATGTAATACCACGACCTTTCGTGACCCTGAGTACAAAAAATTCAGAAATATTTAGGTATGAATGTGAATAATGAATAACTACAACGGAGAGATTATTAAATGAAAATTTACTCCAACAAGTCCTGCATTATCCTATATATGTACGTGAAGGTCATGAATAACGTATTATCGGTCATTGGATAGATCTACACCTTAACTATCACGGCATGACAATAAAAACATATACTCCCATTAAAAAACAACATCGATGACCTTGAAATGTCAAAGAATATGACCTCGAGAAAAATTTTCCACCAATCATAATATTTGCCCCTTCGAACCAAACAATGTCTTCCTTTAACATTTTTTCCTATCATCAAAAACAGGTACGATATTCAAGGTGATCTAGAGATTTTGTTGACCTTGGATATTCTGATACAGAATTAAAGGCTGTATAGAACCCAGTATATTAAAGTTCTAAATTGACGTGAAAAAGTAAGACAAAAACATATAAAGGATCAGAAAAGTGGTACATTTTTTCCGCTATTTTAAGCGAAGGTGATAATTTTTAGTGACCCACGCCCCCCCCCCCTCTCATCCCGTGTACGTCTGTACATTTTCTGACGCTAAATTGAAAGGGTCAGTTTGTACAAAGACAGATGGGCCGGGACACCCAGGTATGAATAGTCGAACCACGCCCACGAAAGGCGACCACGCCAGGGTCGACCAGTGTAATCAGTAAAATGCAACCCCGTTACCGGGCAAAAGTCGCCCTTGGTTCGCTCGATTAAGGAAATTCAGTCGGTCGACGATATCACATCGGCTTGTTTATCGATCTACCCCATTCCCCTGGTGTTACACCGCCAGAGAGCTAATGTTACCCTAATTTATGTGCGCTGCCATAATGAAACTGGGTCGCGACGGGCGGCATACGGATACAGCCCCCTACCCTTATCGTGTGTGTGTCTGGTTTTATTAAAATTTTCGTCATACTTAGCGCGACCGGGCCCTCTCCCCCCCCCCCCCCCCCCTACTTGGTTAATTAAAGCGTCGCGGTCTAATATTGTGCCACGTTTCATAATGGACTACGAAATTTACTTAATTCATTTTACACGCCTTGGTAATTACGGTACAGCAATAGGGGTGGGGGAAGGGGAACGTTCATCTTGTCACGGAAGACATCCATGGTTGGGGGC